GTGTGTGTGTGTGTGTGTGTGTGTGTGTGTGTCAGAAGCAGGACAAAAAGAGCTACAGTATAAATTTACCGCTGCTCCGTCAGCGTTGTCCTCACTGTTCGTCATTAAATACATTTTAGCTACAAACTGAACAGTTTGTTGTCAGGCAGCGTTTATTTCTGGAGCCAAGGCTGTGGAGAAGTGTTAGAACTGTTGTCCCATGCCCTACAGGAGGGGGGCGCTGCACTGCACCGACTCCATCTCTGTCTGAGAGTTTTACAAAATCCTCGACCATCGTGATAAACCTTCACAGCTTTGACTTTCAGAATCTGATTTCTACTTTGATTTCAGTCCCTCTCCTCCAGGAGTTTGTTTTTTTTTTCAGGGGACACTCCCCCTAGTTTGAGAACCCTCGCTGCATTTTGTTTTGTTGTTTTTTATATTTTGGTCCTTGTTGATTTTTGAAAGTTGAAAACTGAGAGTACAGAGCGCGTTGTTTAGTTTGAAGATTCTAGATTTGTTATGACATACTGTATATTTTATTTCTCATTTTTCGCTGCGGTGTTTTTAATACCCGTGGTACGTGAGGCAGTGTTGGTACGGAGGTCCAGCCTGGTGGTCTGTAGTATCCGTCTGTAACTGAAGGCTGTTGAGGTTTCGTCAGGTTTTATCTTGATCTGTGACTTTGTTTTGCTGATGCGTCTGATTCAGAGTTGACGTGTTTTCAGGTCGACTTCATCAGGGTGAGGGATGTGGATCGTCTGTGGGCCTTAAAAATAAGACGGGAGCCGTTCTTGGAGGTCATGTGCGTGTGTGGGCCTTAGCAACCGCTGAAGTGTGTGTGTCTGTGTGTGTGTGTGTGTGTGTGTGACTGAAAACAGTAGTCAAGGTCCACGTGTGGCCCTGAGGCCGCCTGATGGTCTGCTCTCCTCCTCACTGATGGGAGGTTGTCTCTGTGGTGGAGGCTTCCTGTAAAGGTGTAGCCAAGAAAATGTCAATGGACGAATCTGTGTTTATTGAACATCAGAGACGCAGCAGTGAGTCGTCGGCAAACGTTGTTTTAACAAAGACGACGCCTCGTCATCAGTGGGCTGGAAACACAACTGTATTACTGTATATTCATGTTTGTATTTTCACTTCAGTTCATATTCTCTAAATGGAACGTCTGGTATTTACACTTCAGACACATCTATGTATTTAGACCACGTCCATTATATAGAAAATATATATATTATATATATATATATATAATACAGGCCAGACAGATACAACTGGAAATGTTACATTTTTATTTATTTTTATTTTTATTTTATTTTTTAAATTGAATTAAATTTAAAGAAAATGGGCGTTTGAAAAATACATTTTTAACAGAAAGAGACATGACTCAAAAATGTAAATTTATAAATACTTATAAATAATTTATAAATAAATAAATGGTCTAAGATATACAGGTTAGTGAATCTAATTCTAATCCACTGCTGATCACAGATGGTCTGATGCAGTACTGATGCAGTACTGATGCAGTACTTTATACCTCGTTGGACCTCAGCTTCAGTAATGTGTCAGCACTCCGTAGCGTTCTTCACTCCGGCAGCTAACGGCTAATTGGATTAATGCTACTGGAGGCCAGGCTTCAGTGTCGTCCAGTGGAGCAGTGGGTGGACATGTCAACCCTCTCCTCTTTTTATTAAACAAACTCAGTGTCCATCTAACCATCGAAGAAGACCTCGTCCCTGCAGGCACCACGTGTTGACCCACACTGTATTCTCTGACCGCGTTTGCATTGATTGATTAGATAATCCGACAGTCGTCAACCTGTCAGTAGACGAGTCACGTGAGCGTCCAGTTCACACTCTCATACTCAGATAATGAAGATCAATCTCTGGGCGGGGGGAGGGGAGGGGAGGGGGAGGAGCAGGGTGTTGTTTGTGTTGAGTATGCAGTAATCCATAGACACGCCCACTGAGCGGAGCAGGGCTCAATCCTGCAGAGTGGCTAATCCAGATTATCTGCCACTGATATTTTCAGACAAATAAATAAATTATAAAAAATGTACTCTTGAATAAAATATGATTCAAGCGACATGCAATAAAAACTGTAAAAAATATATTTTTTTATTTTTAGACTTCCACTCTGAATGACTCGTGCCACAGTCTCTTGAAATTAATCTGTAGGAATAAATCCAGATTTTATTTTATTTTTTCTTAGTTTCCTGGTTTCAATTTTCACCACTGCAGCAGCAGAAAGCAGTCGGGGCTGTGGTTTGACCAGCAGAGGGGGCTAGTGGGCAGAGACTTCCTACTGTAACTGTTTGACTCTGTCCGTTCAGCACCACCGTGTGAACAGACCTGTGTTAGCT